AGGGAGTATTACATCGCATGAGATGTTTCAGGCTATAATGCAGAGAAAAGAAAGCATGTGGATTAGATCATATTTCTGCTTAACTGCTTTCCTTTTTGTTTTTCCAGCAGTTTGGCGCACGCCTCATTGCCAGATTGTGATGATTATTAAAGGTAAAAGCTGGTAAAAGCAGGCAGTCTTGATAATTATAGGCCTATAGCTTCACCCAGCAGACTTCAAGACGGTTGTGTGTAGCTACAAGAGTTAAAACTTTAAAAGCAACATGAAGAAATCCAATGGATGCTGAACGCTTCTGAAAATAAATCTTTGTGGGTTTATTGAGTATGATTTAGAATCCCATGCTACCAGTTCCAGCTGAGGAAACGCTGGTACAGATGTGTTTCAATTTAAATTCATAAGTTTGGATTCATAAGAGGCCATCAAAACAATGGATAAAATAAATAAAAACTTCAGCTTCCAATTTAGCTGATCTCTCTATAAGACATATACAGATATTTTGACAGTAGTTTCTTTAGATCCTGGTGATAGTTTAAATCAAAAACAAAAAAAGGAATGTATCTTTTTTACACAAGTTATTATGTAGGGCTTTAACTAGTATGGACCTATTTGAGTACAAATTGAACTGTATGTGAGTTTGACACCCCTACCATAAACGAAAGGTTTCATCTACTCAAGCATAAAATACATTTGTGTTTATCAAATAGCCATAAACAACGGAAAATTGACAGACTAGTTTTCCCACTGGTATGCATCATGTCTGGATCAATAAAAACATCCTGTAGTGGAGTCAAAATTGCTTTAAAATTTTATTACAATAAGCGCCGTTCATCTGAACCAAACTCCATTAAGAAATCTGTCAATTTAACGCTCCTTAACATATCGTCAACATGATCAATAATAATTTTTTTACAAAGGTAAACATTTCGGAAAATAATCGATTAAAGTATAAGACTAGTGCCGAATTCAAGAAAAGCTCCAAATGTTAAATAATGAGTGTGTAAATATTTTGTTTATGTACAGGAGACACACAAATTCCAACAAGCAGGGGAAAAACGGGATTTTCTAAATGAAGTGTGACAAGGCACGTGAACACAATATGTGACGGGACTAGTCGGCGAAAAGCTGACTGACAGCTGTTGGAAAGAGAAGGAACGCCACTTCATCCCAGTGACAGAAACTCGACGGTTATAAATAACTTACAAACTCTGGGGTGGAGATTTAGGCGGTCAGACAGCAAATCCGACAGTTTCACAGACGTTAGCTCGCTAACAGAAAGGACATATTTACCATTTTACCGCCGCTGATTTTAGCGTATCCCTACTTCCAAACTTTTCTCCCCAGCAGCAGAGCCAGCTCCGGACATAATCTTCGGGCTCACACTGGCTCCCCTGTGCCGTTTCTCTCCGTGTGAAAATTAACCGTTAACACCGTCTGTGAACCACATGCCATCGGAGTTCCCTCGTCCACTTGATGCTGCTGCTGGAAGCCGACCAACGGCTACAAGCAACGGTGTGGTCCCCTCTCCTAACCAGCCCGCCGCGATAATCTTCCTAAAACCAGCGAGCAGTGGACACACAGCGTGTAACTACGCCCCGCCCACCTTTTTACACAGAGGGAGGGGCTGGGAGGCATATCGAATACTCTCACTCTTATTAATTTATAATCCGAAAAAGTGGGCCTCCTTGGTCTACCAGTGAGATCTGCTGGCTCTTTTTTTACTCTCAACAATATCTTTATCAATATTTAGTCATAATTAATATCAAGCATAACACAGTCCCAAAAGGAAATAAAGAAATGTTTTCCTCTTATTCTGGGCTCTTTTATCTAATGGAAATTATGGCCCAGGAAAACTAGGCCATGGGTCATCAAGTTACTAACAGGCTGCAGGGCACAAATGTTTGATGAAGCCTTTTTAAAACATAAATAGTTAAAATCCTTCAGACTTTCCCTTATTCTTTGGAGATGGTCCTAGATGTTGTCCACCGGCTATTGAGCATGTGAGTGGTCACATGACTCAAAATGTGTTATCAGGACTTCCTCCTAATCATCCAACCACATCCAGTAGATTAGTGTCCTTCCCTGAGCCTGCTTCTGTTGGAGATCTCTTCCCGTTACAAAGGTGTTCTTGCTCCCCAATGTCACCAAGTGCTTTCTCATGGCAAATCAGGTAATTCGAGGGATTTTGTCCCTTTTGAAGTCGTACTCACAGTCACAGCAACTTGAGAACCCATTTCGGTGTCACATTAAATGATAAAGATTTTTTTTCCTTAAAATGTATCATTTTTATGATATCAACATAGTGTTTTTTGATTATTTATATGTCTATGTGACAAATATGCTTGTAAACAAATTTTATGGTGAGCTCAGATAAACTTTCCTCCTCCATAATTTTGACAGGACGATAAGGGGGCTTTATTCTAAATATAAGCATAACAACAATATACCGATGCAGTTTAATGCACAATATGCAGCAGATCTGCCACATATTCATCAGTCAATATTCATCATGAATCTTCATAGGAAGATTACAATGTGAGTTCTGTATATATACTGTATACAGTATATAATCCAGACCAGCACCACAGCGGCACTAACTTCAATAATTAATGCACTGTATATTCAAATGATTAACCCTATCAAGGTAGAAATTAGGGTTGAGCTGTTAGATTGATGGGATTAATCTTTTCTTTTTCTTGCCAGTAAAATTGACTTCAGAATGAATAAGAGTACATTATTCAAAAAAATCCAGAAGCGCGATCCTCTCCAGACCCATTTGAAAATATAGAAAACTCCTCTGCTGTGACTAATAGCATGTGTCTGATTTAGTGTTTTACATAAAATGGTTGAAATAACCCATCTGAGCTTCCGTTCCGTATGGAAACCTTCCAAATCTATGCAAATATTCTTCAAATGATCAAACACTCTTCATTAATGGTGCATGTGAAGCGTATTTGAGTTATCGCTGGTAATGTACTTGTAGAATACATTACATTGTGAGAGACTGATTGCAGTGTGTAAAATTATCAGAAAAAATATGTTTCTATGCTGCTCGGTCCTTTCACACTAATAGAAGTTTCCAGTGCAGGATATTCTTACCCTTTGTGAATTTGCCACCTTTAACATGACCTGTGTTTTGCCAGAGTTCTTGTTTACACCTAGTGGAAACACAGTCACATGGATAAATGACACCGGTTAGATGAATTTCTCCTCAAAGGTCTTGGGATTGATTCATGAATGATTTAAAGGCACAGCAGCTCCAGTCTGGCCCCACTGATAAAGAAACCAATTAGGATGATCTGTGGCCTTGTCATGTGATCTGAGCCCACTGATAGTTTTCTGTCAAAGCGGACATTAAGAATTAATCCCCGCAATGTAAGTCCTCTGGCTGGCACTCGATCTCGCCCTGGACCTCCAATCTGGTGAAAAACACACCAGTATCCTTGCGGCGTCCCACTTTTCTGTCATTCTTTATTACTTTCTTCTCCCTTATGTGCACATGGACCTGAAGCCTAGTTTATGAGGATGCTGGGTGAGTCAGTGGGCTGTTAATCACCGTGACAAGTGTGTGTGCTGACAGGTTGGACGCCGTGAGGTTCGGTGAGTCAGCCTACAGGGGAGAACACAGCACCTGGCACTGAGGCAGCCCGCAGGCCACGAGCCCCCGTACTGAGGTTCAATGTGTTCCAAACGAATCACATCGCCTTATTTCCACGAGCGTGCACGTGCATCTTGGGGTCGTCATTGTATAGCTTTAGGATGAATCAATCCTGATGCACTTCCACTCCATTTCCCCTGAGTATTGACATACAAAATCCATTTGTGTGAAAAAGAGATAGCAGGCAGAGTTAATTGTGACATTTAATTAGGCACAGATTGGTGGCCTGTTTGTACTTTCGAATTCATTTGATTCAGGGCAAGCTTTATCTGCAAGCTCACAAGCCTTTAAATACCATTAAGAGCAGACCTAATGGATATGTCCAAACTTGTGACACTTGCAAGACTGTAACAGAAAAACAGGTTAAGGAAGTGTTTTGATTTACTGCAGGAAAACCTCAAATGTATCCACATGGACACACGCATGCACTCCGTCTTTTTTTAAATATCTCCTTTGACTTTTAATAAGTGAGTAATAGAGCTACAAATCCAGTTATGTTTCCAAACCAGAGTCAGGTTATATCATTTTTTAAAACTCCAGCATGTAAACCCCAGAGTTTCATATCATAAAATGATGCAAAACTTATTTTTGTGTCAAGGAAGCAAATGTTTACATAATTTCTGCTGTTAATCACAAGATGCCATTGTTCTCTTCCCCCTCGAGCACTGGTCTTCCTGCTTCACTTCCTGCCTCCATCTCAGCTGGGGTATAACTTTAACCTCTGATGTACCAGAAAACTCCGGTACACTGATAACAGTCTGCGCTGTTTACTGGAGGTGAGTCTTTGGATTGCTTGGGTGAAGCAGGTTCCAGTGAGGCTTTTCAGGAACTGACTGAGGTCAGAAAATGATGCAGCCGCTCTGGAATGCTTAGCCGATGTGGTCGTAATGTTCTAGTATTCCGCTGGTAGTTGTGGAATGTTTAAATTATGGTCGGATCAGCCTGTTCACATGAGATTAGGCTGTTCTCAAGAATGAGTAAAAACTGGGCTCAGAGTATTCTTTTGAAACCATTGACTGTAGAAACCATGCGCAATCTGACAGCTCGCCCAAAATGTCTATCGCCCCCTGGTGACTGGCTGCAGTAAAGGTCAAAACCCTGCCCCTTTTAAAGATGCCTACTGCCATTTAAATCAGTCATCACATTGATTTGGGTCATTTTTCCTCTCATTTTGTTTTTAATTAGTAACTTGGTGCTCTAAAATTGGGGTATAGCTTCATGATGAGTGGCAGCTGCAGTAATGGAAAAACTTGCACATTTTTATTCAGCATTTCCAGACAGAGTAGGGTCACTGAAGGAGATCACAGCTGTCTGTTTCAAACTGAGAGTGTGAGTTGTTCTCTAGCAAACTGGACTAACCAGTACAAGGGCCTGATGTACTGCTGCACTTTTTTGTTAAGTTAAATATGGGATTTCTAAGCTAATCAATAAATTAACATCCTTAGCTAGCTAGCTAAGGCAGTCATTGGCTGAAACCCTGAAGGGATCAGAAGTGAAACGTGAGAGGAATTAAAGAAGATAGGGTCATAATTTTTACATTTGAAGCATCACTACATAGCTTGTGCGGAAAGTGGAAACAGGGGCCTCTGTGGCCACAGTTGGTAATTACAGGATTCTGGAGAAGTAATTTCCTGTGCAGTCCTACCATTACATATTACAGCTATGTCAGATGCCTTTTGAGGTTTTCCCTAATGTTTTCTGGTAGTTAAATGTGATCAGATTTGAATCTGTGATCAGTGATCAGATTTAAAGTCCACATTAGGAGGTAGGATAAGTCCTGGGTGTATCAGGTAAAGGAACCTGGTTTACATTGCCTTTGGACTTTTGGATTTAATACTCATTTTTTTTATTTTTCCTTCTCACCTTTTTGGTTCGGATGGCCATTCAGAAGAACAGCCATCCGGACTGCAACAGAGGCAGCAGAGAGATACATTCCAGAGCATTCATCGGATGTATCTTTCATCATCGGTTAGGAAAAGATGGTGGATTGGCTTAAGATATGCCTAAATGGCAAAACTACACTACTAAGAAAGGGTACAATGCTTTTAACTGCAACAAACATAGAATGATCATTTCAGCTCAAACCAGAAATATAAGGCTGCTTTCAACTTATTGCATATTGTAGTTAGTCAGGATCCATTGGCATCACATTTTATTTCACTGGGCAGTGCTTCAGTGCAACTCTTTAACATAAGGGTCTTCACATCTAAAACAGATTACATTACAGTTAAATCCCTTCTTGCTTTATAACTATTGTAACTGTAGTAAAGACTAAGTAAAGATGAAAAAGTTGCAGCAGAAGGTGAAAGTTTACCATGTATTTTGTGTATTTTGAACCAAACCATATCATTTAATATACCTAACCACATAGTTTTGGTCCCTAACCACACAGGAACTCAGAAAGTTGAAATATTGTTGTGCTAGACAGGTCAGAAACTCCTGTCCTTTGGGCGGAAGTCCTGTGATCATTGTCACCGTCATACTTTCTTACGGAGACTTTGAATTTGCTTTTTAATACTTGTGGAGAACCACCCTACATGTAAAAATAATAAAATGTGTGATGCCAAGAGAATCTGACCCATCTACAGTACGTGATAAACTGAGAATAAGAATGTGTCCCTATTCTACTTTCCACAGCAACAGTCAGCTCAGTGTTACGTGTGCTTCAGCTGAATGATACTCATTAGTTTACGCACTGTTAGTACTTATTCACCCCCAATAACTCAAGGGCATTTAATCACCGTCACAAGAAGCAATATAAGAAAGATGCAACTCCCACTGAAAACTGCCACGTCAACACAATACAAGAAAATCAACACCATCATGAAAACGAAGGTCTACCACAACATCTTACTGCAACATGAAATCCCTTGTGCCCTGAACCTGTCACAGCGCGGTGAGCTTGTGTGTTAGTTAGAGCAGGGCCCAAGAGCAGACATAGGCAAGGAGACGTGACATGACTTAACAAAAGGCGAGCCTTTATTATGGCTGATGACAGAAGGCAAAAACAAAAGCTAAGACGAGTGCAGGCAAGACAACTAAACTGGAAAACAGACTAAGAAAAACCTATGAAACTGAGATAA